ACCATGGAGAGATTCCAAGCCTCACCTCAGCACCAGCTCCCACCCAAGAGTAAAGCCTAAAGCCTTATGGTACCAAGAGTTGGCAGAGGTACAGGTAAGTGACTGCTGGCTGGGGACATCACTTGGCAAACTGACTTTGCTGAAGAGAAGGGAGAGGTAAGGAAATGACTGGGGTGAAGTGCTTGTGAAAATGTGAGGACTAGAGTTTGGATCCCCAGCAGTCACATAAAAGCAGGAGCGTGGGTGGCTCCATCCCTTCTGCTCGCATCCCTTGTACAAGCAGAACAGCTCTTGTTAAAGCCACAGGGGCTCTCACACTGCAGTCCTGCATATGAAAGTTTTCCCATCTTGGTGACAACCTGTGTATCACCCTTACCCCATGCTGTGTGGTCCACCCCAAACCCCTGTTAACATAACCATGCCTCTGAATGCCACATATCAGCCAATGTGTCCAGGGAGGAAGAAGCAATAACCCTGCCACCTGAGTACTGGTTAGTTTTAATCATCGACTTGACAAAGTCATCTGGGAAGGGACACTCAGTGAGGGACTGGCCGGTTTGGGGCATGTCAATAACCATCAGTCAGTCTGTCCCACCATGAGCTGCTCTGGGGGTAGCTGACCAGTGCCCAGAGTGTGTCACCTCAAACCTCAGGACACAGCTGAGGAGATTTCATTCCACACATATCACCCAGGTCTAGGTAGAGTCCATAGCTAGGCCAGGAGTTTCTTAAGCTATGGACACACTTTTAAGGGCTGGTTTTTACCACTTCTATGTGTGTGGCTTCTAGCATCCCCAGGCACCAGTCACTGAGTGTCCCTTCTCCACCAAGAGACCTGGAAGGGTAAAGCCCAACCCTGTATCCTGTGACTCATCACACTGTCACATTTACTGGCCAGACATGGGCCTCAGGAAGGTTCCACAACTGGGCCAATGCTTCTGCAACTCAGTGGCAGGACTGGAACCTGACTCCTAGGTGACAGAGCCAGCTCACCAGGGCAGGAACACTGTCAAGATGCACAAAGACCTTACTAGCAGGGACATGATGGCTTCCCCCGGAACCTCCTGAGACAGGGGATAGAGGAGAGGGGTCACCTGTAACCCACAGGTGAACATACCTCAGCAGTGACACAGCTTCCTGGTAAGCATGCCTCTGTGTACCCACATGCACAGAAGGGGGCATAAAGCTCTCCTACAAAAGGGCCACAGGGAGGCGGTGCGCCCCAACCATCCATCTGTCTCAGTATTGTAGTGGTCCTCAAGCCATCCCCCCTCCCTAGAGGGACATTGGTTCCTAGTAGCTTGGGGGAAAGCATGGCAGGGCTGCCTGCCAAGGACCCAGGCTTCTCATCCTGTGGTTTCTGTCTCTTGCTGTGACCCTACTCTGGACCTGAAAGTAATGCTATAGTGCCCACTTGCCTGGCACTCTCTCCAGCCTCGGGGCCTTTGATTATGACAAACCACACCCTTCCCCACCTCCTTAACTCTGTGATCTCTTCAGTTCCAAGCTCTCTCCATGAGTACTTTTCCCAGATCCCAACTCCCAGGCCTTCTTCCTGAATCAGGGGACAGCTGTTGACTGCCATTTGTCACTAGGGCAAGAACCCAGGACAGCAGTGTCTACAATAGTTGAGTTCCTACCAAGCCCATGGGGGCTTCATGGGTGCCAGGCTCTCATGGATGACTCGATGCATTTACTGATAAACCAGGAGGAGTCTCAGGCCTTCATGTCCCCTGAGGCACCCCAGTAGTGCTTAGGAAAGTGCTGCATGGTCTCAACTGCAGAAAGGACAGAGTTCACCAGGAGCTGGACAGGAACCTGGGGTATCTATGTCTTGGTAACCCTGGCTGAACCATGTGGCTACCTGAACATCTTCTAGCCCATCTCTAAAATGGGGATGGTGGCTAGCCTAACCCCATTCTGAGGTTGTCCCCTTGGTCATGAGTTACAAGAACCATGCATGATCCACTGATGGTATCTCCCCTGTCCCTTCATCCAGATACCCTGCTATAATGCAGTGGCATCATCTTCCCATGACATAGTGGTACCAGAGAGGCTGCCTGGAGTGGTGGTGCCTTGATTTTCACAGTCTGTGTGTAAGGCACACTGGCAGAGACCCAGTTTCCCCAGCATGCAAGTCCCAGAGTGGAGGGGACAGCTCTCAGGACTTATTATGTGGCACCACCAAAGCAAATCCAAGCAATCAGCTCCCATCAGTGAAACAGCCAGTTTATCAGGCTGTGTGGCACCTCCTGCCATCTGCTCCCAGCCCCAACTGGCCTCAAGGAAATGGGCAGAACCCTGAACACAGAATGGCCTTGGGACTGTCAGCAGGCAAAGGAAAGCCTAGTACATAAGCACAGCCAGGCTGAGAAGTACACAAGTCACATCTCCTTTAGTCCCAGTTCTAAAGCTCATTCCAACAGTAAGTACCCTGGATTCCACCATGCCCTTTCAGAGTACAGCTATGCAGCTTACCCCCCCCCCATTCATTTACTCTGCTGGCCAGCCTGTGCTCCCACTGACACAGGTCTGGGGTCAAGAAGAAAGGGCCCCTTGATCTCTGAGCCTGGGGGAAGCCAGGGACTAAAGAGGCCAGTGATGTCCTTATTGAAAGCCACATGGGGCCACTGGTGGTCAGAATTCAAAGCAACTGGACAATAGCTGAACAGGCAGCTGGCCTCACCCAAGCTTTATCCTCACAGCCAGTTCAGTGATGAGGTGTGACTTTCTTTGGACAGAGGACCACACAGCTAGGAAATCCTAGTGTTGAGTCACCCAGCTGGTTATCAGGAGGCTTTGATAAGCCTGGCTGCTGAGTGGAGTGACCCTGAGAGCCCTGTCCATATCCCTTATTCCCCTCACCCTCATTACTAGACCATTCAGGAAGAGCATCCCTAGTACAAGCAAATAAAACAGGTCTCCATTCTCTACGCACTTATGACAACAGCCATGGGCACAGGAGAACCCTCTGACACCTTATAGCCACCCACTGGAGGAGGGCATACTGCCCCCATTCTGTAAGAAAGTGAACCAAGTCATAGAGAGATCATTCAGTGATACCCAGGGTCATGCACCCTACAAAATGTGAGGTTAAAATTAAATTCAATTATTTAGTTCGTAAAACATGCCTCTAATCTTTACAATACCTTTCTTAAGGTGGGATGTGTGTGTGTGGGGTGTGTGTGTGTGTGTATGTGTGTGAGTGTGTGTGGTGTCCATGTGTGGTGTGTGTGTAGTATTGTGTATGTATAGTGTGTGTTGTGTATGTATGTGGTATGTGTGTGTGTGTGTGTAGTATGTGTGTGTGGCATGTGTGTGATATATGTGTATGTATAGTGTGTGGTGTGTGTGAGATATGTGTGTATGTATAATGTGTGTGGTATGTGAATGTATAGTGTATGTCTGGTGTGTGTGTGTGTGGTGTGTATGTATAGTGTGTGTGGTGTATGTGTGTGGTATGTGTGTATATGTGTGGTGTGTGTGTAGTATGTATGTGTGTGTAGTACATGTATGTGGTATGTGTGTGTACTATGTGTGTATGTATAGTGTGTGTGTGTGTGTGTGTGTGTGTGTGTGTGTGTGGTGTGGGGGGGACACATTGTAAACCACAGAGCAAAGATCCAGTCCTGACTCTTGACCTCACACAGAGCCTCACCTCTTGCTCTGCTGACCCCTCCACACCTTTGCCCTGCCCAGACTGTGCCAGCCTCAGGACTGAAGCCTTTGCTCACACCTCACAGTATGTGTACTGATGAGCTGCTGCGTGAGCAGGCTTCTCCAGACTTATCCCCACGACCTGCCAGAAAGCCTTACTTCCTTGCCCTTGGTTTAAGTCTCCCACATCCTTGAGTCTCCAAAGAACCTTCACAGACACCAGCAGAGTACATCAAGCCCTTGAGCATCACAAGCCCCGGGCAGAGACAGCCCCCTCCTGGAGAATGGGTCCGGCTGGCACCTCCCTTCTCTCCTGGGTTTCTCTCCTGAGATTTCTAAGATCCACACAGGTCTTTAACTCACCTCAGCCTCAAATCACTAGGGGGCATCAAACACACATCCCAGGGTTTCCCAGATGTGCTGCTTGCATGGCTCCTCATTCTGCAGGCACCTGTGTCCCCAGTCAGTGCCTCTGCGAGTCCTTGTCCTTCCCCAAGGCTGGGGTCATTCATCTTCCCTGGGGAGCTTCCCCTCACCCAGACAGCACTTCAAACCCTATGGCCACTAAAGGGCCAATAGATCTGACTACTTGTAGAAAGTGGGTAACAAATCAGACCCAAGAGAGTGATGTGGAGGTTTTGATTCATGGACCAATGGCATGATGCCACAGCCAATAACAGCATCCCCACCATCTTCACCACCTGATATCATCACTACCACCATCCCCGTCACTACCAACCTCATAACCACCATCACCAACATCACCATAACCATTATCACCATCGTCATCCTCATTGCTGCCATTAGGATGTCATCATAAACAATATCATTATTATTACTTATAATCAATCCCCTTATAGACAATACCATTGTCACAGACACACTGACCATCACAAAGACAATCTGGACCCATGGTCACCTTGAGCACCACCCAACCAGTTGAGCTCTGAGAGAAAGCCCAGTCAGTCAGTCACTGTGTCTTCCCCACACAGGAAAGGGCATGGGGAATCCATCTGAAGATGCCTTTCTTTAGTTAGGTGGGTCAAACCTCCTCCCCACAGCCATGCCATTCTGTGGGAGGACAAAAGATAGTCAGAAAGGGGAAATTCCCCTAGTGCTAGAGGCCCATGTTTGATGTTTGAAAGCCAGGAAGCTCCTCCCCTGCCTGTTTGTGTCACCATAAAATGTCCTTTCTCTCTTTGAGTATAAGGCACCTTTGAGTGTAATGGCACCTGCCTGTATGTAAAACAGTATTCCAAATGGGGAAACTGAGGCCCATGGGTGGCAGTGGTGCCTGAGATCAGACAGAGAATGACAAAATTAAATCCCAGATCCACACTCACCACGGGGAACCGTAGATCCTAAAGCCACGCACGGTGACCTCTGAATCCTGCAGGTAGATGCAGTTGGTCAGCAGTGACTGCACATTCTCATAGTTCTCCGGCTTCAGCTTGGACACGGATGGGAAGTAATAAAAGTCCTGCTTGATGAGGTCAGCCATGAACTCCTGGTCGAAGGTCAGCTCGTGGTTGCCCGCAATCACGATCTTGTACTCATAGGGCAGGCTGCCTGTGGGATGCACACACACAGAGTAGGCTGCTGGTGGCCCTTCTGGAAGCCACAGAGCCACCAAAGGGAGCGAGCTAGGGACAGCCAATGTGATCCCCCAGCAGGGACATACACTGCCACATCCTGTGCTCTGTATCAGAGGAGGCAGCAGCCCCTGGCTCTGCCTGCCAAGACCTCTACTGACCATCAGTCTTGAGCACAAGGGAAGGGTCCTCCCCAGTACCTAAGCTGCAGGGTGCCAGCCTCACCCTCTGTTTCCAAGCTACCACCACCACATCCTCTGGCTGTCTCTATCTTGGGCTCCTCAGCCTACACATCACAACAGACATTGCAAGTTCTTTGTAGAGCCCTATTCAGACCTTCAGAGATGCTACACTCAGGGAACACTCCAACTGTCCAGCAGCACTGACTTGGAATTCACAGTCAAAACAAGGTCCAGGAATACCTGACCTTTTGAACACTATGGTGTGATGTCATCTGCAAAGTTCATGCCAACAATCAAGTTACAAAAAACAAGCCAGGTGGTGGCGGCACACACCTTTGATCCCAGCACTCAGGAGGCAGAGGTAGGTGGATCTCTGAGTTCGAGACCAGCCTGGTCTAAAAAGTGAGTTCCAGATAGCCAGGACTACACAGAGAAATCCTGTGTCAAAAAAACAATAAATAAACAAATAGATGGATAAATAAATAAAAATTTTAAAGTTACAAAAAAAAAGGATAATAGCCTTGAAGTGACTGGGCATTGCCCACCTACAAACCACCCACCCCCTCAGCCCAGAAGATGCCATTCACCCTGCCCTCACTCTATGCCCAGGATTCACACTGCTCAGCCCTCTGCCTCAGCTGCTGTGCTCAGGAAGCTGTGATGGCTCTGGAAGTCCTAGCTTAGATAAAACATGAAATGTTGGGCTGTGGAGATAACTTAGCTGATGAAGTGTTTGCTTTGCCAGAACCCATGTTGTTGTGTTATTTTTAAAACCAGGTCTGGTAGCACACACATGTAATCTGAGTCCTGGAGAAGTAGAGAAAGGTGGGTCCCTCCCTGCACTCACTGGCTTGCTGACCTAGCCCACCTGATGGACTCCAAGTCAATGACACATCCTGTCTAAAAAATCCAGGCAGAAAGTGCCAGAAGAATGACTTGGAGACTGACCTCTGCCCCCCCACACACACACACACATTCCCAGAAGAACCAAGTTTGGTCTGCTGCCTGTCTTCTCAGTAGCCCACACTAGGGATCTTGAATCAGATTCAACAACCATGTTGAGACTCAACTGCCATGTTCATTCTGGGAAGAAGCCTGACCCCAACTCAGGTGACAGCCAGGACAGACAGGTCAAGCTTACCGCCTTATGACATGTGACACAGTGTGATGCCATGCAGTCGCCACTGCCAGGCAAGATTGAAAGGTAAAAATTTTGGGGGACACGGGAATGAGAAGGAGCCCCTCACCCACCGAGTCTGCTTGCAGTTTCTCTACAGCTGAGGATCAAGGTTGCCAACATAGTAAGTGTTCCTTTCACATAGAGACACTTCAAATCATATTCAAGTGGCAGCGATCTGTGCTCAAAGCCCATGCATGTGACCTGAAATATGCCATCATTTCTTTCCCAATGTGACCTGCAGTTTCCTGGGAATCTTACTAACAAGGCAATTAACTGTTTCCAGTGAAAACAACTCTAACTCCCTATGTAACCCTTGTAACCCAGGGCTTTACCTTATCAACCATAATCCTATCTATTTACTGTATTTCAGAAACCACCCTCAGAATACAGAGAGAGAGAGAGAAAGAGAGAGAGGGGGAGAGAGAAAGAGAGAAAGAGAGAGAGAGACTTAGAAACCTTTGGAGATATAACTTCAAAAGCTACTAAATGATATACATGACTAACATAAGGACAGTAAGCTCAACTTGCTCTCTCTCCCTCCCCTCCCTCTCCCCCACCCTTTTCTTTCTCTCCCTCACTTCCCCCACCTGGCACATACCCATTCCTGGGGTACAGTAACACGCAATATCTTTTTCCCAAGTTACACCCCCCATCAACACCTGTACTTCAAACTCAAAATTTCTTCTAGGGGCTGTATCAGTTAAAAATGTTTCTGTCCTTCCAGGGAAGCCAGTGCTGCCGTCCCCAGCACCCACATCTGGAGGCTCACAGCAGCCTCTGACTTCAGCCCCAGTGGACCGATGCCCTCTGCCAGCCTCTGTAGTTGCTGCACTCGCATGCACATAGACACAATTTTAATCTCCTAATAAACCCTGTCTCTGCTCTTCACTGACTTGTCCTGAAGGTCTTTCCTGTAACTTTGTCTGGCATGAACTCTCCAGCCACCCCCCCTGACATAACACATTCTAACTGCACTGAAACAGAACAGCCTAGAAGTCAGTGTCACACTTTCCCAAGCTCGCCCAGCTGAGACCAGCTCAGCCTCATGCCTGACAGTCAAGGCAAAACGCTGTGAACAGCCACTCATTCTCTGCCTGGACAGGGCAGTGTGGCAGTAGGGGGACCCAGAGGTGTACGAATCCCCAATCTGCATACTGATTTGGTACCCCACACCTGCTTATCAACTCTGGGATACCATGACAAGAGGGCAGGTACAAATCCACAGCTCAGTTCCACCATTAACCCCCTGTGAGTCTTAGCACCCCACCGTGCCTCGGTTTCCTCACACCTGAGTTGGAAACAGGAACACATTGAATGGAAATGGACAAAGACACTTGATACTCAAAAGGAAAAGGAAATCAACTCCTTTGAGCCATAACATAATAGAAGCCACAAGTCCCATTTCTCTCCCGCCCTGCCCAGATATATTTAGCTTGGTACAACTTTGTTTTTGATTGAATGTGTTACCAGAAATAAAAATTTGAGAGCTTCCCAATAAAACTTCACTTGTTCATTGTTTTGTTATTATTACTACTTATTGTTATTAATGTGTGGTGATCCTGTTTCTCTCATGAAGTGCTGTGTAACCCTTAGACAGGATGAAAACACCCATTTTATGCACCCTCCCCCCACCAGTCCTATCATCTCACACAGTTCAACACACTCATTTCAAGGTGTGGTCATAGGCATTTGGACTTTAGAGCCTTACAATACTGTGCCCTGGCCTGGGGGTTTCCGGTTGAAGCTGTGGGAGATAGGAGCCTCATCCTGAGGTTTACTACAACCTAACCCTTGGTGGAAAGCCCAAGAATCAGGGGTGTGAACATGTTAGCTCTGCCCATCTCTGTTCCTAGCATTGGTCTGGTGAGCAAAGCCACCTGCAATACTGTAGCTGAGTGATGCACAGGTGGCTGGCTGCCAGAGCTGGGGACTGAGTGGGCGGAGTGGCAGGGAGGAGCAGTACAGACCACCCATCCCTGGAGCCCACCATGGGCAGTTGCCCTGGTGTCATCAAAATCTTGATTCCCCACAGAGCCATCCAAGGTAAATGTCATCCAATGTACTCCATATCTGAAGGCCTTGGAGCTGAAGCTGAAGATGGAGGCACCCCATGGTTTAGGTGCTGGGGTGATGTTACAGCATTGACCAGCTCGGTACCTCTGAGTCACTGACTCCTAGTCCTTCAAAGCCACCAGACCCTCAGTCAGCCTGGGAGCCTCATCAGCCCTTCCCCAAGCATAGGACAAGGACTGGACCATGTGACATGGGGAAGGAAGGACAGGGTGCCTACCACTGGCTGCCTACCTCCCTGCCTCACCCTGGCTTCCACTTCTCACCACCCACCCATCTTACTTCCAGTGCTGGTGAAGCTGGGGGTAGAGCCACACTAATGGATTTCTGTCATGTCTCTACCTGAGGGTGCTACTTAAGCAAATCAGCAAATTACACCAACTGCACAATTCCATTTGCTTCTGCAGTGGTGACTCCCTGGAGGATGGGTGTACAAGAAGCTGTCAGCTCCCCTCAGGAGTTTCCACCAGCAGACAAGGAGAGCTGAGGAACATAGTCTCCAGTGCCCAAGGCCAGGCAGCAGGCTGGAGCTGTGCCTTCCCAGGGAGACAGGTTAAAATATCCATTCCCTTCAACAAGATGTGGGTCAGGCAGTGCCCTGTCCCTGAGATGGAGGCCTGGCCATGAGTGGATCTGCCTGGGTGGTCAGCTGGACTTTACAGTTCACTAGCTGCCTGTGACCTCCACAGACTTTTCTTCCCTCCTGACATCTGAGGAAAATGGTTTGCCTTGCCTAAGCATAAGACAGTCAACAACAGAGTGACTGAAAAACATGGAGGGCAGCAAACACCTAGCTCTCATGTGACAGCATAGAGGTACATTCTGAGCCATCATCATGCTACCTTGTCTGTCAACAGATGGTAGGTGCCTGGGTGGGTAAGTAGGAGGAAGGGTGAGTGGATGGATGGATGGATGGATGGATGGATGGATGGATGGATGGACGGACGGATGGGCAAATGGATGACCAGATAAATGAGTGTGTGGGTAGTTGGAGGGTGAATGAGTAGGTAGATTGATAATTGGGTGGATAGTCAATGGATGGCTTACACATTCGGTCAGGTTCAGGGTGACAGACAAGTCCAAATGCCTTTTATTTTCCCCAGTCTTCCTCAGCCCAGAGGAAGCTGAAGCTTTGGCCATCCTTTTCAAATGCATGCTAGACTAAGAGCCCATATTCTACATTGAAGCTGAACTCTGCTAGAAGCCTGAGTCCAGGCCTTCTGTGCTGCAGCCCCTGGAAGGTGTTTATCTAAGGCCCCAAAGATGACAAGAGCAGTTTAGTGACCTGCAGAGGTCCATGCCCTCTGTGGAACAGAGCAGAAAGCTAAGCCTCAGAGAGGATATAGAGTTGCTGAAGGTCACACAGTGAGACAGTGGAGAACTAGGGCTTTAACCCTGGCCACCTGCTGTGGGTTTCTTAGTGGGTAAAGAGATTATGAACTGTCAATCAGGAGAGCAGATGAGAGTGACGTGTGATTTTTCCCCCCTTTTCATTTGCCAAATGGATGGAGTTCAAGAGCATCCACACAAAGCTTCTGGGGACAG